GTGGCTGCTGGGGGCAGTGAGGGGTCTGTGCCTCATTCACTGCAGGTCCCGGTGGTCAGTGGGCTGAGGCTCCAATGAAAAGGGCCAGGGTGGTGGTATTCATGTCTCCCTCTTGTGCCCATCTGCAGATTTCAACAGGGGTGGTAGCAGCGAGGACCCCCCCGGCTGCAGGTAACGGGAGGTGCAGTTTAAGGAGCTTGAACAACATGGACACTGTGCCGTCCAGTCCCCAACATCCCGAGGGCTGGTTAACCTGCGGCTTTCCCCAGCATTCCCACCAAGGTTCTTTTTGTTTGTTTTATTTTTTCTTTCATGAGAGAGAGAGAGGGAGCAAAGCACCCTCGGCAGGGTTTCATCCCATGAGCCCCCTCCCAGACTTCCCAGCCAGAGTCAGGACGTGGGTATACGTTTAACTTGACCTGGTGTGCACAGGTCGGTGAGGAACCGAACCCGTGATCCCCCGTGTGGATCCGGCATTGCCCGAGCAGTGTGTTATTGCCACACCACCACGCTAGCTCCAGCCAGTGTCTCTCCTTGTCTCTGCACTGGCAGCTTCACCGCATTGTTCTGACCTCAGTTTCCCCCCGTAGTTCCCAGATGGCTGCATCTCCTCGCATGACTGTCAGAGCCAAAACACAGATTTCTCCAGCCCGAGTGCCTTTTCTTCTTTTTTAGTGTTTTTGCCATGGGGTACATGTGCTCACTGGAGAGAAAGACAGAAGGAAAGTGAGAAATCACCCCCTCCAAGGGGGATAGCCATGCTGCAGTTCCTTTTCTTCCATTCTCTTGGGGTTTTGAGATTTTGGGCATACACACACACCCACACACACACTTACACACACACACCACTGGCACGCTTTTCAGGCCACAGGGTTCAGGACTTGAACCACGTAGTTGGCCTTGTGGGATCCAGCCACCTTAACCACCATGCTACCCGCTGGCCCTTGAGTGCCTGTTTTTTTTTTTTTTTTTTTTGGGAGGGTTTTTCTGTAGGGGGGGTGCACCCAGAGAGACAGAAAGTGAGAAATCATCTCCCGGGAGGATGGCCACACTGCAATCCCTTCTCCTCCATTCTCCTCTCTGAATCTTGGGCACGCACGCGCACGCGCCCGGTGTGAGTTTAAGCCACCGGGTCCAGGACTTGAACCACAGTCGACTACATGGGAGTTCAGAGACATAGCCATTGCGCCAACTGCTGGTCCCCCGAGTGCCTTCTTAAGAGCAAAAAAACCTTTCCTTAAGCATTGAGCAGAATTCCCTCATGTCTCCTGGGCCCAGACACACCACCGATAGCGGTCATCGGCAGGAGGAATGGAGTTAGTGGGGCCAGTCTGCAGCCCAGCAGGGGCCAGCCTCCTCTAGGACCACTCTCCCCCTAACTGTTGGCTGCCGAGACTCATTGGAAAGGAGGAAAGAGGAATGTTGAGATAGACATTAGCGTCTGCCACAATGGGCTAAAAAACAGTAATTAAAGTGGGACCAGCATATGGCATAATTGTTACATTGCTGGACTCCCATGTAGTTGACCGTGGTTCAAGTCCCAGACCCAGTGGCTTAAAATTTACACTAGGCGCGTGTGCATGGGTGCCCAAAATCCTGAGAGGAGAATAGAGGAGAAGGGATTGTGGCATGGCCATCCCCCTGGGAGGTAATTTCTCACTTTCTGTCTCTGTCTCTATCTCTCTCTCCAGCAAGTGCACACACCCTATAGCAAAACCTCTCTCTCAAAATAATAATAATAATAATAAAAGAAACAGCAGGCATTTGACGGAGC